AGTAGATAAGTCACTGCCCTACAGAGCTACCACACTTCCTATTTATTCGATCCACAAATGAATTACTTTGTGCACTATTATGTGCATGGACATGGCAACTGTTGGAATTGTGAGAAATAAATGTTATTTAAAACATGAATAAAAGATGAATAAACCCTCCTAAGATAATGAACTCTTTTCAGAAATTCAAGAAAACTTTTAAAAAATGGGTCAGAGAAAAGTTGAAGAAATATGCATGAAACTATAAATATAACTATGCTTGCTATACTATTGTAAAACATTCCCTGGAGACATATAATTATTGATATTTCAAGAAGCAATATCATAGAAACTTGCTGAAATAAATTACAAACAAGCATTGTCTTCGTTCAAACGACAACTTTACAAACTCATGCATAAGATTACTCACTAGGCTAAAAGAAAAGCAAATCACTGAATTAAAGTAGCAAAACAACTCAGCTGATAGCTAAAAGAAAGGGGCTACTTTTTTTTAGTTCATTCCCAGTTAGCGTACTATATAAAAGACCTGGACAAGCCACACCTAGCCTTAGAAATATTAAGAGTAACACTAGCAATGCTAGTGTTTACCTCATTAGAAAGAGGCTAAGGCTGTGAATTCTGTAATGTGTATGCTTCTAAGATTTAGTCTGATCTCAGCATTTTAAAAATCACACATGGTTGATAATAAATGATATAATATATTGTTATTTAAGATGGGTGGAAAAAAATCAGGAAAGAATGATAACAAATTTATTACGGCCTGCATCCATTGATAAGAAACCAAATTCAAGAAAATATTAGAATCCAAATATTTTGATCTTCAAGAGTTGTTAATTATAGCAATGAAGTTATTGTAAGTTGCTTCCTAGAGCCACTCAGGATAGGGTGACAGAAAGCATATAAATTAAACAAACAAACAAACAAATGGGGCAAGGTGAATTTAATTAGGACCATAGGGCAAGATGAGAGACTATTAAACTTGTTTGCCTTTCCTATTTAAATTGAATACCATATTCGTTTCTTCATGAAGACACTGATTGGGAATTGAAAAAACCAATATAAAGGGGAAAGGTTAAATATTGTTCTAGCATGTTTACCTTATTTAGAATTATCTTCCACTATAGCCAGCATATCAGCTATTAAGACTTAAAAACAAACAAAAAACTTAAAAAGTGCATATCATTGATCATCAAGGATAGAGAACATGATTTTTCATGTTTCTGATAAAAATGTGTTCAGACCCATGTATTTATCAAATGTCCTTCCAATGTCTATGGAGATTCTCAATCATCCAGGTCATGGTTATCCCAAAGGTGCTTTTTCAAGAGACAACTGGACTTTCTTGTTTTTCTTTAAAGACCTTTCACTTCTCACCCAAGAAGCTTCTTCAGCTCTGATGGAATTGGAAGGATTTATATTCCTTGCAGTCAGCTAAACAGAAGACAAATGACCAGCTGTCTGCAAGGAATATAAATCGTTCCATTCCCCACCATCCAATCAGAGCTGAAGAAGCTTCTGGGATGAAAAGTGAAACATCTTCCAAGAAAAACAAGAAAGTCCAGTTGTCTCTTGAAAAAGCACCTTTGGGCTTCCCCTTTCAAGTACCACCAAGCTCTTGGTTGAAAAATCCAGTGTGGATTAGAAGATTTTAAAGTAATAACGGTAGTATATATTACACATTATGTTGTTTTATTTAATCAAATACCATTTTCTAAAGTTATCAGGTTCCTCAATCTTCTAATTGGACATTAAAAAGGATATATATCCTTTTGCGGATATATATTTAGAACATCAAAATTGTGATATATATATATCACAATTTTGATTATAAACTGAATGTTGTTGTAGTATAGAACAAGCATCATAGAAGAAGCGCATAGACCAACAGTACATTACATATTATACCTACATATGCTTATTGTTTCATTCGTCCATTACAAAACTCACATTACTTCCTCTATTAACTAGTTGTTTGGCCAGGTGACTATGACTATGGACTATGTGAAGACATATTGAGCTAATCCTGTATTCAAAATTCATTATGGTTTATTCTTGCCAGCAATTTTGGTGTGCGCATTATATAATTCTACTCAAAAGCATAGAAATTAAATATTCAAAGCAGAATAAATAATTAGGCAAACCTATTAGCAAGTTAAAAAAAATCTACACTTTATTCTTATACACAGGTAAATGGATAAGTTCCAAAGACTAGCACACAGAATGACATAAACAGTTACATTTGCCACAGCATAAAGGGTATTACTGTCTTGTTCGGTTAATCAAAATTCTTAGCATATAACTGATACAAAAATAAGAGGTGTGGTTTCATTTGGTGCAACAGTACCACATAGATGCATGTTATACGGTTATAAATATGTCTACACTAATACAATACATAAATAACATAGCACATATATAAATATACGCTTAAATATATAATACTAATAAAACTATATATCCTTACAGCAGGAAATAATTATATATTGTGCTTTCTCAGATTTTAGAAATAAATCCCACTCAGTTCAGTAGAATTAACTCTAATACAGAATACAGTCATAGTTTTTTGACTTGCAAATAATTGAGCATGGAATTACTGTTGTTAATCATGCCAGTCATTACACGGGTCATCATGTGACCATGACTGATTTTACGACCTTTTTTGCAGTAGTCGTTAACACACATTCTGTAATTGTTAAGCAAAAACTGCGGTCATTAAAAAATCCTTTGTTTGCAATGGATGTTTTTTTTGCTGGAAACTGAAAGTAAACACCTATTTCAGGCAAAAAGTCATAAATTGTGATTTTGTGACTGCAGTACACTTCAGATGACCATAAATACAGGCCAGATGCTGGATGTCCAAAATACAATCACTTGGAGAGCGCCCAGCCGTGCCAGGTCAGAAGTACTCTTTTAAGTCTGTCATAACTTTGATAGTAAATCAAGGACTACCTGTATAATCCCAACAACTTCAGTAAAGAAACAATTTACTGAACATTTCAAAAATTAATTAACCCAACAAAACAGTAATGTGTCCTGTGACTTTCAAGATGAATCCAATTTCCATCACTCTCCATCAGTATAGCTACTAAAAATGATGGGAGATGGTGCCATAATAGCAAGAAGGCTACACATTTTGTATCTTACCATTAGGCAATACTGTGTAATGAGTAAAAATGAGCACAGGTACAGTTAAAAATGGTGTAATAAATAAAGTAAAAGAGCAAAGTGCTGCTGCACAATACTGTTCCACCACAGAAAAAAATGAATTCAGAGGAAAAGCTACAGCTCTGCTTCCTTTAGTCTTGTGGTGGTTTCTGACTGTATGTTTCAAATATTTATGAATACTATTTAATTATAACATTATTTTATTTTTAGTTTCCTCAAATGCAATTTCTAGAGCATATAATGATGAGACTTCCACCATTACTTCTCACAATTTTCCAAGCCAACATTTAAGACCTTCCACCATTCCTTTCCATAGTTATAAAAAGAAAAATTATGTGTACCTTTGGTTTTCCCAAGTCCCATGACTTCTCCCTCTCACCCTCCAGGAGAAACTACATATTTAGTCCACTTGCTCCTTTATTTTCATGGAACATCTTCCTATCTGTTGTTTTTTTTCTGACACACGGCCAGAATGTGGGTGATTGGCAACACTAGCTACTAATTTACGATAATATACCACCTCAAGTTTTTCCATTTCTTGATCATCTCAGTGTCTTCTTGGGGCTTTGCCTGAGAAGCAGAACATGTAGCTCTAGCCATATTTTTATCCTTTTATAAAACAAATCAGAATTTAAGACCGAGGAGACCAAGAAGATCAATCTTCTTGCCATTAAGCTTTTTTTTTTCAACGTAGGGAATATTGATTGTGAAATCAAATTTGGATCAGTCACTGGGAGCAGAGATTTAAACTTTGGGAATCATGCTGGAGTCCATCTTCAGGGAAATATGGAAGCCAAGGGCTTGACAGCACAAAGAAATGACAGCCAACCTTCAACATACCAATCAGCCAATAGGAAGGCACCACATAAACATGACTCACAGAACAGTTCCAAAGTACATATTCCAGTAAAGAGAAATTCCCTGAAGATGGGCTCCACATTGTATCCCAAAAATTGGAAGAGTAAATCTCTGGTTGACTGACCCAAATTTGATCTCGCATCATTACCCTTAGACATTTGCCTTTAATATTGATTGTGATTGCTGAGGTTTTTTGTTTTTGTTTTTTGGCACACATTGAGTGCAATTCAACCATCAATTGTGTTATTTGCTTGTTTATTCTACAGGAAAATAGATGTTAAGTCCTGGCTTCTAATTTACATTGGTCATAGCCTTCACAGGCCTGTTCTCTCTCTGTTCTCTCTTTTCTTCCTCCTCTCATCCCTTTAACTGTAGAAAATGTAACAAGCTTATTTACCTCTATATGGATGTAAAAATAGTTTACTTCAAGGTTGCTAAGGTAGTGGCCAAAGGTTGCATTTAGCACTTTGTGGGAGTTTAGAATAGATCACCAAAGCGAGCGGGGTAACACAACACGTGATGTGTTTCTCAACTTTAAAATGACGAGAAACTGTACTGTCGCTTTTTAGCAGGCATATTCAAACGGGGTTTGTCGGTTTCCGAAAGGGTCCTTGGGGCAATCCGGGGATACTAGGTTTCCCATCCTTGCTGTACTACTCACATAAAGGATCCTTCTTTATTATCCGCGTACTCTGGGACTGAAGCTTGGCATGGAAATTAGAATCTGGATTATGTAAAGATTCAGGTTAATATGCTATTCCTTTGATCAACGTAATGAACTTTTAAAAGAGGCGGAGCTGGACTCTGCTGAACCTTTGTGGCTAAACTCACGTCTTTCTCGCAGCCGGGCTTCAGAGCGGGAGCTTTGTAGCCATTGGACGAACTCTGTCTCCCGCAGCCAATTGGCAGGGCCGGTTTGAGCTGTCTCCGTTTTCGCGCGCTGACTGTCTCTTTCTCTCTCTTGTCTTTCCATCCAGTTTGCGTGTTTATGGAGCTGTGGACTGGGGTCCGCTCATCGCCCCTGCGCGTCTCCCGTTCCCTGGGCAATGCTGCAGCAGTTGCCGCCGCCGCCTCCCCCTCCTAAGAGGACGTGGGCTGTTCGGCAGAAACTGACCTGGGTGAAGGAGGAGGAGGAGGAGGAAGCGGAGCCTGTCCCCCGGCGGCCGGACCCATTACTATGGCCGTGTTCTGCTATGCGCTCAACAGCCTAGTGATCATGAAGAAGAGCGGCGAGGGAGAGGAGAAGAGCGGGGGCTGCAGAGGAGGCAGGAGCAAGACCCCACCTGCCACGCGCAGACAAGGGCCGCCTGAAGTCGCCCGGGGAAACGAGAGGCATAGCAGCTATTGCCCTTTGCCTCTGAGCAGCAGCGGCAGTTCCAGCGGCTCCCCCACTGCATTCCTCTTCCCTCCAGCCGAGTCGCCGCGAGCCACGGAGGAGACTCCATTTCTCAAGTCCCCTCGAGAGCTCAGCAGCCCTATCTGGACTAGCCCCCAGAGCCGGTCTCCTTCGCCCGGCTGGAAAGAGTCTTGCAGGTCGCCCCGGATCCTCCAACGGGAGTTGCAGAATGTGCAGGTGGTTGAGAAAGTGGGGCTATTTGAAGCGCACATCCAGGCGCACAGTTCGGGGGGCACCACTTTCCCCCTAAAGAGTCCCCGCCTGCCCAGGAGAAAGTCGTCTTCTTCCCCAAGCCAACCTTGCCCCTTGCAGCTGGTGCAGGATACCCCGTCCAGGCAACGAGAGATACAGGAGGGAATCAAGGAGCTGGATAAACTCTGGTACCGACTAGAAACCAGAGGGAAGGCGTTAGAGAAGGAGGCAGAGAAGGATTCTGGGGACACCCATCTATTACAGGTGGTGGGCAAGGGAAAATCCGATGAGACATCTCAGTCTACTGAGAAAGAAAATGGACTCTTGGGAGAGCAGTGCCCAAAGGCCAAAGGATTTGGAGCACAAGATTCAGAAGTGGAGAGCAGAAGCCAAACTGGGTTGTGGAGTTCAGATCCAATGGATAAAGGATGTATTTTGTTGAAAGGGCCCAATTCTAACCAGATGGGGAGGGTGAATGGGATTTCCAGACCACAGGAGTCCAGGCAGGCAGAAAGGGGTCTGTGGCCTATTGGGAGGCAGGACTTTGAGGTGAGAAGTGAGCCTCTGGAAGAAAAAGACTCCAAAGAGATGGAGAGCAGGAGAAGCTGTGAGGAAACTCAGGGCTCTGATGAGATGAGCATCATGATGCAGCCAGGTGAAGGCGAGGTACAACTTTTGGAAGGGTCAAGCAATGTGAGTAGTTGCTGTAAGAATCAAAGCTTCATAAAAACTGGGCTCTGGGGGAGGGACTTTTCTGGAGGGCAGGGCTCAGGAGCCATAGAGATGCCCCTTGGAGAGCCGCTCCCTCTAGGAGACCCGCCTTGCCTTGGGAGAACTGATAACAAAGAGGGTAGCTGCAGCCTGTTCGCTTTGACATTCTCTGAGAAGCAGTCCTTGTCTGAGATTATGGCTGAAGCCCATGCTGTTGGGCTGCAGGGACAGCAGCTTCCCTCAGGGACCTCTGCAGGACTACCACAACCGAGGTGGTCCCTAGTGGAAGGCCGGGGATGCTGTGGAGGTGCAAACATTCCTGCTGTTATTGTGACAGACCTGGATGCTCAGGAAGAGGAAAAAACAGGAGCAGCTCCCCCAAAGGACATGCCAATCAGGAAGCTGTCTTCTTCCTCAGCTTCTTCCACTGGCTTTTCCTCATCCTGGGAAGAGTCTGAAGAAGATATCTCCAGTGATCCTGAGCGATCCTTGGACCAGAGTCCAGCCTTCCTGCAGACCTTGGATAAACCCAGAGTGGTAAGTTCTGTGTAAGTGATGTCTCAGATGATTAGTGAGCCAGGTGTTTTCTCAAGGTGATAACATTTCTCTGACCATGTTTAATGGAGATAGGATACCCTTAACTTTTTTTTATGAATGGCCTTTTAAAAATCAGTTTCTGTGACATTAACTTTTTCTGCATTTGAGCTGTTCTGTTGATCTTACATCATTAAAAATGAAAAAGAGTAAAAGCATTAAATCTGCAACTGAGCTATAAAATCTGTATCTCAATTCCAGGTGACTTTAAGGGACCATTCCATCAATTATGGAATCCAGAAACAGGCATGGAATTTATTGGTGGGAAGAACTACAACATAATGAAATTAGATTGAAGGTGGGGGAAGCATAAATAGACAACATCTAATTTTTGTGGTAAAACTAGATGTGATTGATTAAGCCTAATCATTTAATGCACAATTCTGTGTTTATCTGCTGAAAAACATTCTGCAGCCAGTGGGATTTATTCTTAAATATTTGTGTAACAAATCTAAACAGAATCATAAACTTCAAACGCACTCCTGAGATCATTGAGAATCACCCCCGCCCCTTGCAGAATCTGTTAAAGAAAATTATTAACTAATTATTTAAATTACTAAAGTTAAAGAGCTACTGATTTAAATCAATATTTCTTGACATTCCTGACTTTCTAATTCTTCTAAATAAGCATGCATGCTGACTGCTCTAATGCTCTAACAAAGCATAGCATTATGCAAGCAAAAATATCATTTAAAAAATTCACATGTACTGCAGAAGTCTATTTGCACATTAAATACCTACTTCCATTGTCATTATCTGTACATAAGTCAGATGGCTTATTTGAAGACTAAGATTGCAATGTAGATTTCCATTTGAAAAACTAATTTATATTAGGGGAAAGGGTGATTTAAACTTACTGTCAGCATACAATGGTGGTTTTGTATGAATCTACAGTGTTGAAAAGAGATGAGATGGTGGTATACTGTTTGCAATGAGTATGATGGTTTTGAAACTCATGTAGGCCTATAATTGCTGTAGGTTCAGCTTTTCATAATCAAATACCACATGGGTTGAACAAAAAATGAGGACAGACAGATAATCATATTGTATTACTAATCAGAATTTTAAGGCCTTGCTTAGAGCAGTGTTTCAGCTGTTAACATTTATCCCAAATGAATAGGAAGAATGACTATTTGTCACTTTTTTACAAGTTGCCAATTTGCCACACAATTTTATTTCATTATTGAAAAATGTATCAGCTGTTATTAATTGGGAGTGTTTCATGCTGTAACTCTGAAATAAAAAGCCAGAACAAGTGCCAGGCATTCTCCAGTTCTTTTAGCTGTGGCTTTTTATGAATAGCTATAAGTAGCATATAACTTGGACAAATTGTGATATAAGTCATATAAATAAGTATACAAATGATGATGATAACCTTTTTATTCTGAAATGTGTATATTTGTCTAAGGCAATATCATTATAATTATTTAACTTCCGGTCTAAGGATATTGAGTGTTCTGCGGTATGGGACAAAGAAATACATACAGTGCAAATATATACAGGGAAATCTAGTCTTCAAAGCTATCTGAGCCCGCTACACATTATATACAATTCATCTGGAACTCATCACATTGAAGAAAGCTATGTTGTAGTTTGTGTCTAATGTTTGTTGATAGGCAAATCATACTAACTTAGCTAACATGTCCATTAAGATAATAAACCTTATATGTGTTCTCCTTATAGGCAAACTTCATTTGAACAGACAGTCCATAAATTCCTTATTAAGCTTTTCAGAATGATGTTCTGAGATTTTCTGTACTATTGGTGTTTTTTAAATTTTATTTTACAGTACTGAATGTTAACATTTAACTCTGGTTTATTCCCTTGCTTGTCTAGTCGTAATCAAACATTCTTATGCCCTAATATCCTCATCCTGCTTCCTGATTTCTGGTTTGTACCAGGAGTATATAGTATATAAATAAAATAGACAGGTTTTTAAAATACACGTTGTCAAAATTCAACTTCTAAAACAGCTTCCTGGACTCCTGATTTGAGCATAAATCAGTACACCAGATTTTTACTTTAATATATTTCCAATTTCTACTACAAATAAACAAAAATAATGTCTCTGTGCTCACAGTTAATGGATAAGTGGTATAGACATTATTCTTAACCACAATGCCCCTCATTTATCATAACATGCTTCAATACATGATCTTGTGACTTAATATGTGTGAACTAGGCCACTGCTGCAAAGATAGGCATTACTGTCAAAGTTGAACTTGCTTTGCTGGCATATAATTCCCTAGATTAGATTGTGAAATTTATTCTGGATATTTTAGTAAGAGCATGATCAGATGATATATTTAATATTTTTAAGATGCTGTAGGACTACTTATTTTTGTTGTGAAGGTACTGTAATTCACCATTTGGTGTTTTGGGGAAATTGCATAATATATATCTGGGACAACATGTTAACAAAATACAGTTACTTCACAGCTTCAGGAAATTCCTGTTGCAAGCAAATGAACATACTGTGAAAGCACGTGAGAAATATATATGAGAAATTTGCTAATACTCCTTTTTCATCTGGTCAGTTATTAGAATATTTCTATCCATATGTGGTAGAATGCAGCACATTTTGAGATTTGCCACTTTTTTGGAGCTTTATAGAAGAAATCAAAATAGAATATTTTTTTAAAAAAAACTTCAGAAGGAAGAATCTGTAGTTATTATCTTGTGGGTAAGAGAAGAAAGTTAAGAAGATTAGTGCAGATACTAGACAATTGGATATTTTAAAGTACAAATACAGAGACATTGGATTGCATATTCCTGGATACCACTATGTCTTAGGGCAGAGCATCGACCACCTATTAGAAGAGTTAGTGGCTGGGTTCACACTTCTAAGCCATAACTAATTCACATGGTTTCTTGGTTTTAGTTTAGAATGCTTTGTAAATCTAGCAATTATAGTTTGCTATGAACTATGATTTATGGTTCAGTACATATTCAATATATGTTGAAAGATTATCCAGTTGTTGCTGATTCTGTAAACCATGGTTAATCATAACAACATAATATTTGAAATCTGGTGAGAGGAAGATAGATTACCAAGATTGTTCTGAGAAAAAAGCTTTCTATTAGGCTTGTTAGATTAGAATCCAACCTGACAATCTATGAAATCACGAATTGTATAAGAATTTCTTTTTTATGCAGTGATTGTAGCAAGGGATATTGTTCAAAAATTTATCTCTAAAAGGTACTATGGCGCAGAAAAAGTACAGCTGGTTAAGCAGACAAATATACTTGTGCTCCTTTACAGCTTGAAGCACTTTTTAGAAATTGAATTATATGCTCTGCAATAATGTTAAACAAGTTTTTCCTAAAGTGGCAAGTTCTAGATATGCTGAGATTATAATTCCCACAGTTCCTATATAGAATAGCTAATGGGTAGTTAGGAATACTGATTATTGCCATTCCAAAACACCTAGAAAGTTCCAGACTGAGTAAAGCTTAAGGATATGGGAAAATTGAACCTGCAGTCTAATCCATTCAACTAATCCCATCCAGCGTTTTTATATATCCAAGCACAATACCTGAGACACAGATTTGATGATAGTTTGATAAACATTTCACAAATCTTTGACGACTAGCTATATTCTGAAACTATATTTTAATGCTTGAAAAATCAGTAATGTTTCCAAGCAAACCAACCTTCTATATGAAGGTATAAAAACAGAAAGTATAAAAATTGTTCTGATTTTACCTCAGTATTCATATACTTGGATTTTGCCCCCTTTGCCTATTCAGTATGACAAATTTTTAATATATGCATTGGCCACCACTTCATAGTATTTTCATGATTAAGAAGCTACCTGATTAATTATCTGCTAGAAATAATTTCATGCATCCAGATGCTGAGAACAATTTATACATTATGGTCTATCAGGAGTGTCAAACTTGCAGCCCACAAGCCAGCTGCATCACACACAGGCTACACCCACTCCAACTCTGCAAAGGGGAAAAACATCATGAAATGTCATGTGATGGCATGTGTAGCGAGTTTGACATCCGTGATCTATACAGAAATATGGTGATCTTCCAATTGGACTATAGCAACATGGGGCTACCCCTGAACAGTATCCGGAAGCTTCAGCTGGTACAGCGAGTTGCAGTGTGAGCCATACTTGGTGCCCAAACGCTCTGCAAATTGCACTGGATACTAGTTTATTTCCAGGTCCAGTTCAAGGTGTTGATCATCGCCTATAAAGCCCCCAGTCTCTTGGTCTTCTGCAAAGGGGTCAAATCTTGGCTCTTTGGTCTTGCATGGGGGGCACAGAGGACAATGTAACCATGGGACTGACTAATCCCTGAGAGCCTCCCCACCTGTTCTACTCCAACATTAATTAGCCATTTTAGGATTTTTCTTTCCCTTTTTATATTTAATTATTTAATTATGTAATTATTTCATTTTTTTACCCTAATTTAATTTTTAATTTTAATGTTAATTTTATACTTTTTTTATCTAACTGTTATATTATATTACACATTACCCAGAGCTTTTCTTTGAGGGACCTGGGTAGTTTAGAAATGTGAAATAAAAATAAATACATAAGTAAATATAAACTAACCAAGCAATATCTTTTTAAAATTTCTAGTTTAGCATTTCCTATTAGCATTTTTAAAACTATTGTCCAAATATAACCTTTGCTTTGTAATTTTCCCCTATAACCAGCACATGTACTAAAACTTTTAAATAATAGTTCCATCATTCAATGTAGGAGTGAAATATTTGTCTTTTTGTTACTCAACTGAATGTCCTAATAAGGACATAGAATAAATGATGAGTTGAAGTAGGCTACACCTCATTTAAATACTTATAACTGAAGGCTCTGGTGATCATCTTTTTTTTAATCAACACTAAATGATGAGGAAATCTTTCAGAAACATCTGCTTGTCTCTTGTAACTCAAGTTTTTTTGTGGATAGGTTTCTGCATTGATG